TTTCGAATTTTTGTTTTTTTTTTTTCACCCAAAAAACTAGGTTTTTTTATATTTAATGATGATAAAGCCAAATTTTTGATTTCCATACATTAATTTTTAAGACATGATTTGATTTAGAAAGATTTCCAAGGTAAAAAGGCATTTTTCAGTGTTGCCTTCCTGTAGATACTCTTTATGATCGTATGAACAGTAGACAGTTTGAGACGTGAACAGTATTGAACGTACCATGTATTCTCTTTCTTTCTTATATCGTACTGCTATTGAAAGAAACTTTCTTCATTAGTTTAGAAACACAATTTGAGCATATTCATCAATTTTCGGTCAACTTTATTCCTTCTTCATTTTTCGTTATTTAATCATCTCATTTTTTGTACAGTTTTCTTTTCCATACAGTTGACATAGTTTACAAGTGTCTTAATTTTTCTAAGCTTTTCTTTCAACTTCAGATATTTATTACTGTTGTTTAGTAAAATAAATTCGATCATCTAATACAACATTCAAATTTTTATCAACAATTTTTTAGTCAGTAAAAAATAGTTTTCTAGTTATTTTATATATAACTTTATTTTTTGATAACATGATATGAAATATTTTTATTTAATATTGAAAATTAGAATTGAATAAATGATAAAAAAAAAATGAATCTTTTATACCATTTTTTGAAATAAGTTTTTATATCTTCGTCAGTATTGATACTGAAAACAATAGAGCCGTATTTATAGCTAATATTTTTATTTTACAAAAATGAAACTTAGCCATCGACACTACAATATACACCTTTTGTTTTATTTAAGATTTTTTTTTGTTTCGTATAGTCATGTTACATAGATTCGGTGTAACATAGTAGTTGTCTCGACCTTAAATGTCATATCTTTACATTTTTAGTACCACATTGTATATATCATTAATAGAATAAAGAAATTGTGTAAGAGAGATATTTTTGACCTTAAATACAAAAAAAAAATTTGATATAATAACATTATTTTTCTTTGTATAATACGATATTTATAAAACTCATATTTTTAGTTTTAATAAACGTTTCATTTTTTATTTGATAAACTTTTGTGTCAACTAAAAGAAAGATTTATTTTCAGATTTTTTTCTATTGTTTATTTAAAGTAATAAAAATTGACTTCTAACTTTTCATGTTGAATGAAGAATATAAAAATCTGTTATTATTATTGTTATTAGATACATATTTGAAATAAGATATATTAAAATTTTCTTTTTATTCTATATCACATATGTGGACATTTATTTCTCGGTTTTTTTTTTCTTCTTCTTCTTCGTTATACGAACACAAAAAAAAATCCACAAGAAAGAATGAGAAATGTACACATATGCGACATAGAATAAAGAAATCATGATATATCTCAGATGTAGAAGAGAAAATGATTGACAGTTTCATGTGTTTTCTAGTTTAAAAAGTGTAAAATACTTTATTATTTATGAAACAATGTAAACCATTTTTCTCTTTCTTCTATTTTTATCATCTACAAGCTGTTTCTACTTCTATAGAAGATGAAAATGTCCGAATCTTTTCTTTTTTATATAAAACAAAAAAATAAAAAAAAAAAAAGTTCATTTTCAAACTTATTAACACATACAAAGATCGTTTCACAACACTACTGTCCAAGAAACTATTTTTTTTTTTTAAAGAACAAAAGTATCGTTGTGTTAAATATTCTAATATATTTAAAAGATGATTAGAACAATTTATTCTTCTACATTGAAAAATAGTCCATAATTTTTGTTCATAGTTCGTTTTAACACTGTCATCTCTATTAAAAGGAAAAAAATTTCTTTTGTGAAAAGAATTTTTGTTTTTTAATTATTGAAAGATATAATTCTCATTATCAATACATTCTTGCAAACAGAAAAGAAAACAAAAACGATTGAATGGTATTTTTTTTTTTTATTACCTTCATCTCTATTTTAAGAAAAATGAATCGATCGTTGTGATGAATTATAACTATCAACTGTTGGTGTCAAAAATTGTCTCGTTCTACTTTTTTATGTTCATCGAATATAAAAGAAGAGAAGAGAAAAAAAAATGTGATAAAAAACATTTCTCTATTGTTCTAATTTAAAATATATTAAAAAATTTCAAGGCATTTGACACTATAAATAATTTGATAAAAACATGAATTGTCTAGCTTTTTTGAAGTAAAACAAAAAAAGAAAAGAAAAAAGGATTATATAAGATCAACATTTTTTTCTTTTTTGAAGATAAACAGACGAAAGTAGTGTGACGATATAGATTATCAAGAGTTAAGATTGTATCGAACTCAATGAGGAGTAGATTAGAACAGACCGAAGGTAAAATAGTCGATAAATAGTAGAAGAAATAGAGCGTATAACTATCGACACTTCATTGCCTATAAGAAGAACGTAATTCATTTTTTTTGTTTTATGATTTATCAATCGTGTACAAATTTTTCGAAAACAAAAATCTTATTTTATTGTATACACACACATACACATTTATTAATAGGTAACATGACGATTACAATTGATAAATACATTTTCTGTTCAAAACGAAATATAAATAATTAAAAACTTTAGATTTTAGACTTAATGTTAAATTTAATGAAAATCTTCTCTTTTTGTGTTTTTTTTGTTTTGTTTCTTTTTCGTTGACATTTATTATTGCAAGTTTTTTCGTTTTTCTTCTTTTCAACAATTTATACTTAACCTTTATCATTACTTGTATTTATGCGTAGGCATTTAAATAATAATAATATGTACATAGAATGTTGTTTAATCCTCTCTTGTATTTAATGATGTTGTAAAGAGAGAACACGAAAAAGTTCAATACAATATATACAGCATTTACTTACTTTCTATACATTATTTTTACGTTAGTAATCGACTATTATTGCTCATAATGTATTCAATTCAAAAGAGTCCTTACCTTCTGTTAAGAACTATAACAAATAAATTAAACAGGTTATGCTAGATGAATAATGTTACTGTTTAGCCTCGAAAAACAGTTTCAACTAAATGTGAAGTTTGTATATATTATACTAGTGTTTTAAATGAAATATCTTTTAGTTTAGTTCTAATAATTTATGAATGAAATAATGAAATTTAACATGTTTACTTTTCAATGATAGACGAACATCAGTCAAACATAAAAGGTTTATGGGAAAAAAGACAAAAGATGATGTCATCTTTTTTTCCTACAAAGTTAAAATTAAATTTTCAGAACAAATATTGTCGTTTTTAACACCAAAGCAAGTGATGTATATAATTCTAATAGGATTTTATATTGAATAGTTTAAAAAACATTCAAAAATAAGAAAAAAAAAACATAAAATTTCATTCAAGATATACAAATCGATTAGAATGATGTTTTTTTGGATATGATATGAATCAACAATGTCTTTTTGTATTTTTCTATGTCATATCGATCATTCTTTCTGTCTATCTCAATATCAATATCGTCCATTAAGAGAGATATGTAACACTAGATCGTTTAGATAAACAATAATAATTACATGTAATGAATTATGGACAAACAAAATTTGTTCATTTTTCTTGATTTATCTCATTATTTATGTTACCTGGCAAATCTCATTGAATGAAAAAATAAGACTTTCTTCTTTTTTTTTTCTTCTTAATATCATATTTAACTCTCATTTTTAACTGACTGATATAAAATGATTTTCCTTTTTCACTTTCACAATCCTATTTTTTTCAACTGGCTACATAACAAGGTCAATTGTTTCTCTATAAAGAAAGAAAATAATTTTAATTTGATGCTTATGTGTGCGCTTCTTTCCATTAACAATTCTTTTTATTTTTGAAGTGAAAAAAACGTCGTGAATTATATTTTAAAAGTAGGTGTACACACACATACATACACACGAATATATTGTACACTAAAAAAAAACGATATATGAACAGTTCTTTTATTCTTATTCCTAGATAAAGACATAGAGATTGAATGACATTTGTTTTATATTTTATGGCATAAAATTTCTTTTACTTTAGACTATTTTGTATATGCACTTGAATAGAGTATAGTTATACTCCCCATATAGATCTGTTATTCTATGTATACTAGTATCGAGGTGGTGAAATGAAGCCAAATAACGAACGATAAAGAAATAAAAATACATAGGTGAAATAATCAGACAAAAATTGTATATATTTATATAAAAATCGATGACGATGTTCATGATTATTTTTAATAGAATTATAAGGTTTTCTTTTTATCATACACATATTTTCCCAATAAAATTTATTTTAACTTCATGTAAATATGTGTTTACTAATAAATTTATTCAATTTGAATCTTATGTAAACAAGTATTATTCTTAAGTCATTTTTTTCATCATAATTTTGTTTTTCTCAATAATTTCCGAAATTGAGTGTGATAATATTTAATTGAAGATATTATTCAACATTTGCCTTTATAAAGTGGCTAATATTTATGTTTGATAAAAACAGAGTATTTATAAATATTTTTAATATATTAAACATGTTATTATGCTTAAAAAGAAAAATGTTCTCAATAATTATTATTTATTTTGTTCTAATTTAGTATTTTCAAAAAGAGTTACCATCAAAACATGAAACTGATCATGATCTCTTATTTTCCAAAGCATTTGCCATTAAATACAATGCCAAAAAGATGAAAAAGTAATTCAATTAGTGAATATAATTTGTTGTTTCTTTTATAATTTACAATATATATTTATTTCATTAAAGATTAGAAAAAGATTATGCAACAATTAGAAAAGAAGAACAAGAAGAACAAATTGAAATTAGAGTATATAGAATATTTTTTTGTTTAATTATTTAAATAATTTTGTTCACATTTTTTATTTTATTTTAGCGTTTAAAAACTGAAAATAAATTATTAAGACAACGTGTAGAAAACTTGGAAAAGGTATGAGTTAAATATTTTATTTTATTTAAATAAAATTTTTTTTATTATTTCGAATTTAGGAGAGTGCCAATTTGGCTGATCGATTAATTCAAGGACAAGTAACAAATGCTCAAAGTGCCGAAGAACTTTATCAATTGAAACGTGACAATTGTAATTTAAAAAAACAATATGAGGAAATAAAACAAAATCCAATAATATCTCATTCACAATCATTTCCATTATCAATATCGCCAACAAATAGTAGTAATGATTTAATCAGGCCACTTAATCAAGTATATAGAAGAGAATGTTTTTAATTATCTGATATAGATATGTTGCAAACGAAATTAAAATTCAGTGAAATTTTAATTTTTCATAGTAGAAAATTAGAATCAACATCTGCACAAACACAAAAACTCAATTATTCGACTTTAGAGCTCGAATTTTAGTTTTCTGATGAGGAAACCACCCGAGGTTATAAATCGATTTCGGGTTAGGACTATTTTTGTTAGAAAGGCTCTGACGAGTAGTGAAATACCCCAACTTGGTTCATCCCCATGGCGCTTTGTTGCTGAGATACCGAACTTTTAGTCGGTTTTTGCCTATAGAGCTTGGATTTCGAGCAAAACCCGATTGTCGAATTTTGATTTCAAACTTGTCACACTTGAGCCCATGGTCATAGTAGTACAACGGAAAAATATTCGATGCTAATGAATCTTCCTGCTTTGAGATATTGAGACTCGAATATTTCACCAGAAGGTAAGGGTGAGGGTCAAATATTCGAATCTCAATATCTTAAGGCAAGAAAATTCATTAGCATCAAATATTTTTCCGCCGTACTACTATGACCATGGGCTACAAGTGTGACAAGTTTGAAATCAAAATTCGACAATCGAATTTTGCTCGAAATCCAAGCTCTATAGGCAAAAACTGACTAAAAATTCAGTATCTCAGCAACAAAGCGCCATGGGGATGAACCACGTTGGGGTATTTCAATTCAATTTTTTTGATTCTGAGCTACAGAACGTATAAATTTAAAATCAAATGTATTCAGCTTAAATTTTGTCATGAGCATTTTGCAAAAAATGAGTTAAAACTCTAAGAGGAAATTTTGGATTTACATCAAGTAGTTATACGAAGCAATACTGTCAATGATGCAATTTTTATCTAAACATACAACCGTCTCTTAGAACTGTTACGGTTTATATCAACAAAAGAAAAAATTCTTAAAATTACGGCACAAAAAAAACAGACAGGCAACAAAAAATCTTGCATCGCAAAACTCTAATTGTACTATGTTTTGATAAATTAAGAGTGAAAAAATATTGAATATCACGAAATTTTTAATTGTTTAGTATCAACAATCTGATTTTTTAACATTATCATCGTCATCCACACCAAACCCATCAAAATTAGATCAATTGGAAGAACAATTAAAATATTATCGATCAAAAGAAAGTGAAATGAATATTGAAGTGAAATCACTTCGAGAATCTATGAAAAAACTAAATGATGTTAGTCAGTTTAATATTAAAAAATAAAAGAAATGAATAAAACATAAAAATTTAACAAATAACTATTGTTTATATTTATAGGAAAATCGTCGATTACAAGAAACGCCTCAAATTGAAATAGCTTCATTACAAGAAGAATTAACTTTAGTTAAAATGCGTGATGCAGAAGCAACTGTTAATTTGAATGAATTAAAACAAAGAGTAGTAGATTTAAATAGAGAATGGCAAGTAAGTTGAGTTATTATGTCTAAAAAAGAGTATATATGTACTATTTTGCCTATTTGATGATATATATATAGATACACGAACAAAAATGTAAAATATTATTATCTGATAAACAACAACAAATATTAACACCTCAAGAATATGATGTAGTTGAACATGAATTATTAACATTAAAAATGCGTGAAGCACAAACAGATTGTGAAAATAAATTATTATCACAAAAAATAATGGATATTGAAACGCAGGTACAATAGTGTCCTCGGTTTTATAATGTATATTCATTTTTATCATTTTGTTTATATTTAATAGAAACAAGTGGCCTATAATCAAATAAAACGCCAAGATGAAGAAATTCAACGAATCAAATTAGAACTACAACAATCTCAGACAAAAGAAAATGAATTACGAACACAAATGATCGATGTTAGATATCAAATGAGAGATTTAGAAATCAAAGTATATAAACAATTTCTTCTTTTTTTTTTTTAAACTGTTCTAATTGTCTATTTTTATTCTATAGCAAAAAGAAGATTCAATGATGATTAAAATACGAGATGCAGAAAGTACTCAAATGATAGGAGATTTAAGACAAAAAATTGCGGAATTAGAAGTAAAGGTATGTTAAACTATTTCGTACTCTGCACATTTTGAATAACCTATGCTAGACTTAAGAGTTATTCTAAATTATTATTAAAATCTAGTTATATTGATATTTGATATATCATCTTTTATTGGTTTTCTAGAATCAAGAATTGGTTACAGCTGATCAATTATCTGATGATAAAGATTTACAAGAAAAATTAGCTGAATTACAGGAAGAGGTATATTTTGGACTTTTTTTTGTTTTCTTCTTCTAATTTTCTATCGATTCGTGTGATCATCCTACTGAGATGCTACTTCTATTCTATTTATTTTTTATTAGTAGAAATACTAGACGGCAATTCTTGTATGTTGTGTAAGTTGAGCATTCTTCTTTATAGAGTTGGTTAGCTTTGTTAAATTTTTGATCTTTCGATGTCATGAGTTGTTTATCGTTAAGAAAAATGTTATCATTTAATTTGTTAATTTGATATACCCATTGATTTGTAGCTACGCGCAATCATATGGATAATATATTTTCTTCATTTCTAATTAAGAAAAAAATATCAAACATTTCACAATAATGATCATTGCAAACGGTTTGTGTGATTTTTTTTTTGAATTAAGATGAGTGTTGTGTATAGTCGAAGCATGAAATATTCACGCATGAAACAACCTTCCATGATTGCTGTGGCGGCCAAAACTTTGTTTATGTCTTAGTTTTAATAGTTTTGGTATAAAATTTAAATGATTCAGGATTTGGGTTATAATTTCAATTAGATAATGAACGTCATTTTTTGTTGAAATGAACAACATATGTCACATAAAACAAATTTGATTAATGAAATCGATGATAATGATTTTTGTTGATCGGAGAAGCTTTTGATTATTTTATGCACACCTGGCTATTTATCAGCCACATTATTTTCAATAATCGAATTATTTGCTTGAAACAAATGTCAAGACATCATAATATATCAGAAACTTTACATATTTCTTTCTAATTTATTATTGGTGAATGAACAAACATTTGATCGATTTTTCTATCTTCATATAAGTTTCTTCACTCACGTTTGATTTTGTATCTTAGAAGACAGACCTATTCTTTTAATATCCACAAAATGACTAGCATTTAGGGAAGTTAAAAAAGACAGCGACAAATAGGCGTGGGACAGTTCCCGTTACCGTTCCTAGTAACTGAAACTGGTCACTAGTTACTAGAGTCCTGTGGATTTGAGATTTTCGAACCCGATCCCGATTCCGATTCGGTCTCGTAAATTTGAAACCCGTCCCGAACCCGAACCCATCAGAAATTTTTCTCGATCCCGATTTTTTCAAATAAAACCCGTCCCGAACACAAAATATTTTTGTCTAGTGAAGTAGTGCTTTCTTTCATTTTAACATTAGTAAATTTCTACTTCTAGAGGTAGAAAAATAAAATTCACTTGGTCGGTTGTACGTCTAGTGCGAAACACCTGTCCATTTTTCCTTATTTTCCATTCTTTTTCATTTATTTAGAATTGTCCCTTATCTCCCCCTATATTAGATTAGAAGAATCGGGATCGAAAACAAACCCGATCCCAATCTCGTTCAGATGAACTTGAACCCGTCCCGAACTCAAACCTGAAAAAAAGCTTTCGGAATCGGGATCGGTTAAACCCGCAGGACTCACTAGTTACTGTTCTCAGTAACTGGAACTGATCACTAGTTACCGTTTTTTTCATAATCAACATGTAGAAAAGTTAATGCTCATTTATCTCGTTTTTTATACTGTAATAAACTCATCTAATTCAGCAGTTCCCATGGACAATACTGCCATGTTTTCCAACAACAAGAAACAATACACGTATAAAAAATCTTTATTCTACAGCCTTTAACGTGATTGTTCTTGTACCATGGGAAGCGCCCTTTGCTGTTAAAAGATATTATAGAGCAACAAACATCCACTTAGAGATGTAAAATTATGTCGATCTGAAGGAACAGTAACTGGTGACCAGTTCCAGTTCTAGGAACGGTAACTGATCATTACTTCTTTTAACCAGTCACTAAAAACAATGTGAACTGAAACTGTCCCATCCCTAGTGACATAGATAGTTGGAAAGAAGTCTTCTTGGTCAATATCAATAACTTTCTCATTTTTTTAAAATTTATTTATAAAAGTTCAAGAGATGCATGGACACTAAATCTAATTCAAATATTCTCTTTTCAAAAACGACTTGATGATTCATCAAATTTTGCATGCATCATAAGATTCGTTTTTTAGTTTTTATTTTCAAATCGATATGATATTGCTTCCATACATTTTTATTGTCCATTCTAATATGTAAGAATATCGCTTTGCTTGTGACAGTCATTGGTTCATTTTCAATTATCAGACATAGCAAATATTTACTGTTTTTAGTACAATTATTAGCATAGAGAAAAATTCATCATGTTATTTTCATTTAGATAATGAATTTACGTTTTAAAAATGGTTCATCATCGGCTTTATATCGTCGTTATTCAATGTCAAATTATCAAAATGATTATGAAGATAGTGGCGATGAAGATCAAGATGATTTATATTCATCAGTAGGCATTTCAAATACATCACATTCCAATTTAATACTTCCATCAATATTATCGCCAAAACATCTACGTTCATCTTCACTAAAATCGTCAGCTTCAATTCCATCACTTAAAACAAATGGAACTCGTTTACCAACACAATCAAATTTAGATAAAACTAAAAGGACGTCATCATGTGTATTGGATGTTAAATCTGATTCGTTTCACATTCGTTCACCATCTGCATATCAAGATGATTTTAATCGAAACAGTGATTTAGACGATTCGGCTACATCTATAGCTGATTGTAAAACGAACAACATAGTTTTATCATGATACAAATAAAATCATACCTTCATTCTTTTTCTTTTCTAATCTCATTGTCTATGTCATCCATCTATCCCTCATCTTCTTTCATTCTGTGCCATAATCTCTATAGATCAAAATATATATGATTTTTCATTCTTATTTTTACATTCAAAAACTATTTGTTGTATATACGTCGATTTTTACTAGCAATATCGGACAATCCTTTCGTTTTCTTTTGGTTTCTTTTTACCATCAATACATTTTTGATCTTGTTTATATTTCGATGGTGTGCTAATTAAATTTGTATCCATCAAACGTTGTTTTCTTATCTGTTTTTATTTGTTAAGTTATTAAGAATAGAAACTTCTGTTTATTCTGTTATTTTTTGTACGTGCTTTAAAAAATACTAAAAAAAAATGACATGTCATTTTCCAGACTATAGTATTTCCACAGAATAAAAGCCAATACAAGAGGGAAGATTGGTTATTTAGATATAGTGAACTGAAAATAGCCCTACTATATAGAGGCATTCACTCAGTCCTTGGTTAAGGATTTTATGTTTTTTGGAATGCTTCCCATTCCGTTGGTAGCCTCGTTAGATTTTTAGTTGAGTTGGTAAGATTGTAGAGCAAACATTTCTCTACAAAATGAGTGGTCGAACAGCTCTGTATGATTTGTTTTGAGAGTTTGTCAGCAATGCTCCGGCAAGGTACGATCGACTCCCAACTCGATACTCGAGCAGTGTTGCTCGGAGCATCACTACCAAAATCAAACGAAATATTCGTTCGGTGAAGCTTGTAGATCCTTTGTAGAGAAATGGTTGCTCTACAATCCTACCGTCTCAAAAAATTCTTAACGAGGCTAAGCATTCCAGAAAACATAAAATCCTTAGTCAAGGACTCATTGTACATGTCTAATTACCAAAGCAAATTAAAATCGATCTGTGATGGGAATGCAGTTTCAATTTTATCTTTACAGTTGAGTTTACAGTTGCCTAAGAGGTGGATGCATTAAAGAAGTTTTTCATAGCGAATTTTATGTTTTTTTGTTTAGAAAATATCAATTGTTATAAATTAAGTTCGCACAATTCTTGATGCTAAATTGAATCGTATAATGATTATATTGTTCAGTTGATAGTTAAATTTGAATCAATCGTTTGATGACTTGTAGTCAACTGTAATGCTCTACTTCCTTTTCGAATGAACATCTGGATTTTACACTAGTGCGAGAGATTTTTTGTGCATTGAATAATTTATACTTGCATTTTATGTAATAGATATGTAAAAATAGTTATCTACTATAATTCGTAGATATGTAGTATGTTTTGCGTTAAATGTATCCATCCATTTATAGTAATGGCATTCAAGTTCAATACTAAATTTTTGTATAAGTCGTTTTATGTGTCACTGCACTTGTTTATCACTGTTTTCTATAAAACTAAAAACGATCTCTAATCGACGATATACCATTCAATAGCTCATCAAAAGTTCTACAACACTTATTAATAGAAAATCTGATAATAGATCATGTAGTTTCGAATATTATAATGGAATATTTTCCGCTTGTATTCTGACAGAATAAAGCTTATATCAAGCTGTATTTTTTAGATACTGAGATATAATGAAAAAATAAATACGGTATTTCGTTTTTTCAAATCGCAACCAGGCCCGGGTAAATGTTTCTATTAACAAGTGTTGCAGAACTTTCGATGGACCATTGAATGGTATATCATAGATTAGGGATCGCTTTTAGTTTTGTACAAAAAGTAGTAGACGAGTGTAGTGACACACAGACAACTTATAAGGAAATTATTTATTTAACTTATGAAACCAGTTATGAGTATTTGCTAATAGTCAATCTGACATATGCTGCACACTGGATCAAGGACTGACTATCCAGTGATATAATAACACTATGCTAAATATTGATGATTAGAGAGAAAAATGTATTTTACCACTATAATCGTGATATGATGCGTATGTCTCTTTTTCAAGCAGATTTTGTCACATATAGTCATCCTCAAACACTCACTCAAAATGGTCGAAATCATCTAATAAAATGATGCTGATGAATTTTAGACACAATGGAGTAATAAAATGCCCAATTCAGACCTTATGCGGACTTATCATTCATCAACCCCTATTATTGATAGTCTATTAATTATTATAATTAAGCTTATGGTTTTATCACATGTTTATTTTGTAAAAAAACCTAATAAATTTTTCTTACAAGCTCTCGATCATAGTCTATAATAATCAGCAAGTAAACTTGACATGAACAAAAACGCTCAGTCATATATTTCTTCCCTCTCTTTTATATTTTTTCTCTAACTTTTTGTCATTTTTTTCGTCACAGTTTGAAAGAATTGCTATGTTCTAATCAACATGATTAAACCACTAAGTGTAAGTTGAATACACAAAACTTTTGAATTGAGAAGAAAAAAAAGAAAATAAAACGAAGAGGAGGAAGTCCCATCACAACACCATTGAATTGACAATAAATGTTCTTAGTGTGAATAAAATGAATATTTGAAATAGCTGCCTTCAACAACATCTCATCAACTATGTTTAACTGTGAGTGGAGCTACGAATGGTACCTCAAAGATAAAATTGTTCAAGGATCAAGGCTAGTTACCATTTTCTGATTTGTTCTTTATCAATAGAATGTGTATATTTTCTAAATATTACTTTGGCCTAGTTCGAACACTCAATCAATACATTAAGTTTATTGAACCAAAGAACATGAAATATTCTTTCAAGAAACAATGATAGGCAGCAACTGTATAATTATAGAGACAAGAGTGCTTTTTTCCAGAATGCTTTCTTTTCAACTGCTATTAGAGAGTGGACTGAGCCTGAGCTCCTTTAACTAAGGCCCAACTTTCAAAATAATTTAAAACGTTAAAAACTGAAAAAACCCGACTTTTTTTACTTAACTTTCAGCATTTCATCTCGAGAAGGAAAGTATATTTTTTGAAAAGAAAAAACGAACCTGAGATAGAGTGTAAAGTATCTATGGTAAAATTTTCACCTCGATTGGATCATTTTTTTGAGCGGTCGTAATGTGACCTGATCAAAACTGGAGTTTTTTAGAAAACCTATAGAAAAAAAAATGCTTTGATGTATTAATAGAACTCGCTTGATGAAATGTATTGAAATGTGAATAAATTTAATCAACATTTTGGTTTAACTGATCTTGTCCAATGATATGAATACATGAAAGATATAGAAACTGGAGCCTACAAAAAAAAGCTATCAACTATGTTTACATGACTTCCGTGTCGTAAACTTCGACCAACGGTATTTTTAGAAAATCGCTTGATTGTTAAATTAAAGCTCACACTCAGTGTTATCCAAATCACCGGTCATTTTTAGTGAGCTATCAAACCGAGATAGCTTGGCTAAAACAACCTCAATCACAGGATGTCACATATCTGTCACAACTCCGTTTTATATTTGTTAATCTGACGTAGTTGGTGTAACATGACATAAGTGGAAAGAAAACGAGCTCCTCTACCCATCTAAATAGAAAGACGAGTGAACAAAAGGATATGGGCCGGTTTTGAGTATGTAAATATTTCAATTTGAATTTCAAAAAGTTCCAGTATGTACAAAGCAGATTCTAATCTTATTACTAGAAAGAGTGTACACACAATGCTCATCATCTTTCTCGCTCATTTTTCTGCTTTTCAAGAAAAAAAACTATTAAATTTTTCATCAAATGTGTTGAAAATTTGTACATTTTTTTAACTTACAGCCACTCAAATTTGATAGTTTTTTTTGAAAAAATTTCTAGTACCATTGAATTAACAAAAGTCACTAGTTCAAAGAAAATGTATTTTTTCAGCAGTGAAGCAATTTAAAAAAAAGGCCATACGTGCCTTTTCTATGGATAAAACGGTTAGAAAAATAAAAACGATTGTTTCTTATTTCAACTAATAAAACCAGATAAGTTTGCAAAATGTAGCATCTAACAGTTTTCTGATATATGATCGGTTATTTGGACATGTTTTAGTTTTATTAATGTTATGTCAAAATCCGATTTTTTATTATCAGTGTTTCACTGAGAATCAGAAAAAAATAAGTTTTGGAAAATAAAATGAACGACATGGATGAAAATTTAGCTTATTTTCAGTTGTACTCTGTTCGACCTATGTTTTGACAATTAAATATTTTAAAAACTTTTTCTATTTATAAAACGTTTTAAAAACTTAAAAGTGACATTTTTTTTTCATATAATTTGACGTAGTTCAAACATGTCGAAAACACGAAAAAAACAAGCTGCGTTGTTGGATTGTCTTTACTTTACAAGTACTAAAATGCAAAACAAAATTAGCCAATGATTTCTCTGCTTGTAACATCTTAAAATAAAATCTTTCTTATTAGCCTCACGAGACACCAGATACATTCGTTCGTCTTAAACTAAGACGCATATACTACGAATATAATACGAAGACGATTAGTATAAGATGGAATTCTTTTTGTAGTGTATATTTTGAAAATATTCGAAAATATAGAAAATGAAAACTGATGATCATCATGATAAAATATTTAGCATTTAGCAGATATGTTTCTGCTGATAAATATCTTTATTTCATTCCAAAAAGCTCTTACTTGATATATCCACTGTTGGATTAGATACTATCTTTGTTATAAATTCAGATGGCTGTGCCTACATTGTGAAAAAGGACTAATTTTATTGCTATTTTCTCTTCTATCTCTAGAGTAATAATCATAGGGATATAAAATGGTTGTAAAAATTCATTAGTTTTTCTGCCCACAAATAATCATAAATATGTAATTACCATGCATTTGACGACTACTAACAGTTATCGATACAAAAGCCGTTGAAATTTTTGTTTATGAATGTTTAATTTCTTTCAATAATGGATTCATCATTGGACATGGTAACATTCATGAAATGATTTCGATACTCTAACGCACGTTAGCAAGCGCTAAACAAAAGAAAAATTTAATGTGTGCACACTAGTTGAATGCGTGCAAATGCGTTATTTTCCAAACTTATATGGGTTTGTAAATTAATTCTAATGCGTGCGAACGCGCTTTTATAAAAAAATGGTAAATAAAAAATACGTTGAAACTCGTTAATCAGGAAAATTTCAAAATTCTATCATCTCAGAATAACAATTCGGATCAAAATGTAATTCTAACGCGTTAGATTAGGTTTCTATCCCTTCTCTTTCGTTTTGGTTTTGTTGATGGATTATAAGATTCACTTAGCTATGGTCTACCAGGTACCGTTTATTAACAGCCTTATAATAGACTCGTCTGTTACATTTACATATAGTAAAGAAAAAAAGTGAATATACATAAATATGTATCGTATATCTCGTAGCATTCCGATGAGTCATCATTCAACGAGTTTGAACGAGTTAAAATGAATTTTTATTCAGAATATATGTATTCTTTATTTTTATCATCGATTTTTGGAAAATTCACACGTTCTAACTCGTTAAATCTAATAGTTTCACGTATTGAAACGGGTTGCAGAAATGTAACGCGTTGAAACGGATTAATAGGATGCCTAATGAAAACGTTTGAAGTCGTTAAATTTTAGTATAAATGATATATTTTATAAGTTTAAATATAACGAGTGTAAGCGCATTAGTATTTAGAGAAGTTCAAACGTGTCGGATGTCGCACTCGTTCAAGTCAGTTAAAACAACTGTTTCACTAGAATTCGTTTCTGTCTGTGAATAAAATATGAATGTGCGTGAACTCATTAAATTTCTTAGAACCATATTTAACCGGATACCACTGGGAAGACATTTTACCACGTTATATTTGAAAATTTAACCCGTTGAAACCCAATTTTCTGAAAAAAAATGTTTTTCAACGCCTGATAACATCCGTTAGAACATCGAAACTATTTCATGGGCACTGTTACAACTTATATTTGAGAATATTTTGATCAAACTAAATGCTACCCAAAATAGCTAACATTACTAGAAAATATTTCCATAACTTCAACTTAAATTTTCTAATATCTTTGTCGCCTGTCTTTGAACAATGAAAGCGTATGTTCACTTCGAAGAATGAACTTCAGAACACTCTACCTCTCTCCTTTAAGAAATAAACAATATATAGAATGAACCAAAAAACGATTTTTTTTCCGTACTGCGATGGAAATGAAAAAACTTTGATACTAAAAATTTATATATGAAGCTGCTTAGGCTAAGAGGTTGCTCAGATCTTTGCGGGTTGAGAAAATATAAGTTGGCTTAATCCGATAAAAAGCTAAGCTAAGCTTAACCCAAGCCTTGGATTGGATTACAGATCGTTACTGTGGTTATACAGAGTATCTTTTCATGCAAGATTTATATTAACTTCGCTATGTATTTCTGCATGCATAATTTTCAAAGTTTGTTTTAAACATTAAATTTTACTGTCTTGTAACGTCATCTGATGACATTACATGAACATTCAAGTCATAATGAAGGAATTTTTTCGTTTTCTCATTGGTATTCTATGATTGATTCAAATATAAGCTTACGTTAGAATGACCTTCTTGCGTTCTCCTACAAAATAACTTTTTTTCTATTGAACTGTGATAATTAAATTTGTTTTAAAGCAGTTAATCAAATCTTTTCCAAGAAAAGACGATAAAAATACAACGAAAAGTTGTTTATTGTGAGATGAGTTTGTTCGTGCGTGAGGAGAATGAATCGACAAAGTCCTTGAATGTGTTTTTTCTCGTCTATTTATTGCCTAAAGTGCATAAATTCTTTCTTTTTTATAGATAAATAATGACAACTGAATTCGTTCGTCAACCCTACATGAACAGTGGAGGAGTAATGTTGAAACAATCACATAGTTCTATTTCTGTAATCCTATTTCGTATTTTTTAGTTTCACGTTGGTTCAATAAATGATACTGACAGTTTTGATAATGATCCATTGAATATTGACAATCGTTCGGGCTATGATCCAAATGATGAATATTATACTCAACAACAACAATATGTTTATAATAACGAAGATCTAAATTATGGAGAAGACATGGAACCATCGACAATTGATCAAATACAAATGCAAAATCCGCTTTCAACATCATCGACAAAAAATTTGAATCAATTTAGTGATATAAGTGGTAAAACATCATCAGAAATGAAAAAATCAGCAAAAAAGAAAGAATCAAAGCAACAACAAGAAGTATGTTCAGATGAATTAGTGATGTACAGCGCCTTGTTCATACATTCAAAAGATAGATTTATATAAAGATATCAGAGATGGGCGAGTACAAAATTTCTAGTTCTCGTACTCATTCGGGAGTTTTTTAACGAGTATTCCAAAAAGTACTCTAGTATCTCCCAAAAAACTGGTGACTGTTTTTTTCACTATTTACATACGTACCAAAAAATCAATTTTTTCGGAATCACCGGCTTCTTTAGTAATTTTTATACTCGAGTACTTTTCAGAAAATACTCTTACTCAGAACTCTGTGTACTTGCCCACCTCTGAAAGATAGCAATACACTCCACCTTTTAGCTTTAAACGCTACTACTATCAGTAAAAATCAGAAGTACGATAAAGAGTAATTTCTCAAGCGGTCGAAATCGGAAAGAAATGGCTGATTAAGCGCAATTAATCAGCCAATTAATTGTGCGCTTAATCATGATTTTTTGCTGATTCATCGCGATTTTGAGAAAAAACAAATGTCGATTAAGCACAATTGTTACTAAAATCGTAAGTAATCGTCGGTTTTTCTAAAAGACGCTCAACAAAAATTCCGCTTAATCAAAATTTATCGACGATATTTTCTCAAAATTGCGATGAATCAACAAAAATTCTGCTTAAATATCGCGATTAAACGCACAATTAATCGACTGATTAATTGCGTTTAATCAGCCATTTCTTTCCGATTTTGACCACATGGATTGTTTTTAAAGGAAGATGTACATAACTCAGTAGTATTTGTTTTGTGTTTACTGAGCTGAATTTTAATCTGAAGAATGTAATCCAAGGTGGATTATTGAGTTGTGTATCTTTTTATTTTATCTCTTTCTCTCGTTACCAAAACTTGTAGGTATAGATCCGATACTATTCTTCGAGTGAATGTTTTTTTTTTAATGCTGTAGATAGAAAAAGTGACTGTCGAATATTTCGTTTTTGATCTTGTATGTAACCTCACTAGGTTTTATTATTTAAACTGCAGTTACAGTATTTCGGTGAAGAATTAATTAATTATACCAAAACTTTAAATTGATATTTAGTAGTTTCAGTAGCAGTTCCATCCGGGGTACCTCAGATTAGTGTAATTGCACGTCTGCTTTTCCTTATTTTTATAAACGATTTATTGGATGAACTCTTAGTTTATTCTACGATTGTATCTGATGGGATCCTACCGTAATAATTTATCGCTAGTTGCTCTCTCAAATTTTAGCGGAAACTAGCTTTATCTAAAATTACAACATATACGGATAGTTGATTTTCTCCCAAAAGATCCACATGCACACTTTTTATCGATGGTATTTGTTCTCTGGCAGCTATCGATGATCCTGCAAATTCCTCAGAAGCTTAAATAGTACTTGATACCATTTCGGTGTGATGTGCAGGCAACTTCGTTATCTTAAACGTTAGCAAATGCTCTGCAATGCTGTTTTTCGTTTAATTCCGACGGGTACTCAGTTAACCATCACGCAAAATGTCGCATGATGTAAAGTGGAAATATCACGTATTGATGATGACCAAAAAATGTAAATAAATGCTGAGCGTATTCGATCGTATTTTTGACGCAGCACTATTATCGATCCGTTTACATATTTATAAAATATGTATTTGTCCCCTATCGATTATTGTGCTCGTGTGTACGATAGTGATTATAAAATTCATTTAGTGGCCCTCCGTTCTGTCCAGTAACATGCGGCGCGTATTATACTAAAAGACTACAATCCTCTTAGTAACGAGCTAATCAAAAAAACTACACTTGCCTGATCTTCATACTCGTATGCACACAATAATTATTGATTTTTTATTTAAAAAAATCAAAGCTTTTGATTACGATCTGTAATCATCATCAGCTATAGTTACAATAAAAAACAAGACGATATATACATTCAATCGTTCTTTCGCATTCTTATTTTTGCATGTTTCTTTGTTTTAGGTCATAACCGGTGAATCGAATCGATTCGAAGGTGATCAACAAAGATCTCAAAAGACAAAAGATAAATTAATGAAAGAAAAAGAAAAACAAGAACGTCAACGTCTAAAAGACGAAGAAAAACTAAAGCGACAAGAAGAAAAGCAACGAAAAAAATCCAAAAGCAAAACGAGAGAAGAATCACAGTACATTGATGATCAAAATAATATTCCTCAACGTTATGATGATGATCATCCACAACCTCAACCCTATGATCGTCATGAAACTGATGCTGATGAAGGAGAATATTATCCTAATCAACAACAGCAAAACCACAGCACGGATGTGAGACCAACGGTGAAACAATCAAATGATAAACAACGTTATAATCCATCAGGACTAAAAGCAAAAGTTGTGATGTTAGATGATAGTGAAGAATTAATCGATTATGATGTAAGACTTCTATCGTGTAAATGAAAGATTTCTTATTTTCTCTTTTCTTCTCTAGAAAAATGATACTGGAAAAGACTTTTATAGTCGTGTGTGTGATATAATGCGTTTAGAAGAAAAGGACTATTTTGGTTTAACATTTTTAGACAATCAAAATATGAAAGTATGTTGTGTTTATAAAAGTGTTCCAAAATAATTTTATTATACTAAGAGAAAATCGCTACCATACACAAATTGCCTGTTGCTATTCCAGACATGATGTGACAAGTCACTTTGTTTTTGTAGTATGTTGAACACATGATGATTACACACATTTTTTCTTTAGTTATGGTTGGATAATGATAAACGTGTTCGAAGTCAATTAAAAGGTAGAATATTTAATTTAATTTGAACATGTGATATGTCTAATTCTAATGATTTTTTTTGATAGGTGCTGAGCCAATTTTTTATTTTAAAACAAAATTTTATCCGCCGGAACCAGCTTTACTTCAAGAAGATTTAACAAGGTAAATAGATTATATGTAAATTGGATGTGAAATGTCTTGAGATTTCTTTACTATATGAATAAGTTTCAAAATAATATGTTACATTAATGACTCTGTTTTTCGAATTTTTTGCATATAAATGATTTCGGAAAATAAGATTTTTTTTAATAATTAAGATATCAGTTATGTCTACAACTACGTCATGATATCTTATCGGGAAAGTATGTAAATGCTCTAATATAGATGTCTTATAGGATGCAAATAAAATTTATTTGTTTTAGATTACCTTGCTCATTTGTAACCTATGCTTTACTGGGTTCATATACGGCTCAAGCTGAATTGGGCGATTATTCTGAATTTGATCATGGTCAAGGTTATGACTATTTGAGAGAATTACAGTTTGCTCCGACACAAAACGATGAACTATTACGAAGAATTGCTGAACAACATAAACGACACAAGTAAGCGTGAGAAGCATTCTATTCTGCGTAATATTCAGTTTCTATGATCGTTGTTGTTGTTTTTCAGAGGTCAAGCACCGAATGGAGCTGATTTACATTTTTTAGAAAATGCTAAAAAATTAGCAATGTATGGAGTTGATATTCACCACGCACAAGTAAGAGAGGAATAACTGAAATTAGATGAAGTATTTTTGTCTGTCTTTTGTTGCAGGATTCCGAAAATGTTGATATTAACATCGGTGTATCAGCTAATGGTTTATTAATTTATCGTGATAAATTACGAATTAATCGATTCGCATGGCCAAAAATATTAAAAATATCTTACAAAAGAAAATATTTTTATATTAAATTAAGACCGGGTGATGTATGTATTTTTTTTGGTTAAGACCCTTAGGCTACTGAAATATTTATTTAAAAAACATCTATTCGTCATCATTTGTTGAAGAAAAAGAAGATGAGACTCCTCACTGAAAACCTTATCTAAGTCATATTGCTCAAAGCTGTTAGTATAAAACTGTCAGAAGGTTGCATTGGTATCAACATTTTCAGTCGTATACGCATTTGGATGAGTGATTTCTTCGTTTCATAATCTGTCTTTCAAGAATGATAGAAATCGTTCTCATACGATAGATTTCATCTACGTGTCACAGCTTGATTCGAGTTAACATTGTTACGCGTTGTAATATAATTTATCCATTAGTTTATTCAATGAAAAAATGTTTCTTACATTGTGATTTTGACTAGTACGATTTATTATGTAGCTGATAGTTAGTAGTCCTGTGAAGAAAAAATGCAGAAAATACGATTAGTTTCTATAAGACATTGAAAGTATCGATTCATGGTTTTGTGATCAATTTTTCGAAAGATCAGAAATACGTGTTCTTTGTTCGAACAAATATTACAATTTGGGAGTTTATATCTAGATATTTCTGAACAGAGTTGACATTTCTTTCTCTATGAATCAAACTACTATGACCTAGTATGTAGATAACATTTTGGTCTCCTCTTTGGCTTCGCTAATAGATCGTGCTATCTACCTACATAATAAATCATTCTAGTCAAAATCACAATGTAAGAAACATTTTTTCATTGAATAAACTAATGGGTAAATTATATTACAACGCGTAACAATGTTAACTCGAATCGAGCTGTGACACGTGGATGAAATCTATCGTATGAGAACGATTTCTATCATTCTTGAAAGACAGATTATGAAACGAAGAAATCACTCATCCAAATGCGTATACGACTGAAAATGTTGATACCAATGCAACCTTCTGACAGTTTTATACTAACAGCTTTGAGCAGTATGACTTAGATAAGGTTTTCAGTGAGGAGTCTCGTCTTCTTTTTCTTCGACAAATAATGTTTTCTAAATAATTATTCCTAAATTTTCGTCTGTTTTAGTTTGATCGTTATGAGAGTACAATTGGATTCAAACTGTCAACGTATAAAGCAGCAAAAACACTATGGAAAATAGCGGTTGAACATCATGCATTCTTTCGGTAAATTTCTAATAATCTACATTTTGTTTTCTTTGGCTAACAACGAACCTTTCGTCTTCTAGTTTGCGTAGACCAGAAGAATTACGTAAAAAGCCCATATTGCCTCGTTTTAATTCAACATTTCGTTATACTGGTACATATACCTACCATCAAGCAAGGCAATTATTATTAGAACGGCCAGCACCAGATTTCGAAAGATCTTTGAGTAAACGAATGACAAGGAGTTTAGACGTTTGTAAGTTGTGAAATAAATATTAGTCTTTTTTTAATGTCAGTAACTTGATCAATTATGTATTTTTATAGTAACACCTGATCAAAGAAAAGGTAGAATTGGCCTACGATAACGCTTTAGCTTTCCTTGCTGTACTTCTGCTCTTATTAACTTTTTCTAATTTTTTTTTTCTCCCACTTGTTTATATGTTTCATCTCGGAAACATATATTGAAAATTTGACACAAAAATTATAAATGTTGCTTTTCTGTCATCGCACAAATATCTTCTCATTTTACGTAAAACTGAAAAAGTTCATATCTATCCGTTAATTCATAATGATAGATCATACCCCGGATCACTTTAACAGATATAGAAAGAAAGATACCGTACTCTGCATATTGTAGTATCGATAATGATTATTTTGAGAAAAACGTGAATGGATATTTGGAACACGTTCTGACTTATATCTTCTTTTAAGGATTGTCCTATCGTTTTGATAAATTCTCTTAGTGTGTGCGGTACTTTCTTTGCCTTTGTACAATTACTTCTGGACACAAGCTTTTCTTCTTTGCGCTTTTTTCAGATAGTCATTTAACACATGAAACTATAACTATCATGAACTATTTACTTGTTACTAATTCATTCAGTTTTTTTATTGTTTTAGCTGGTGAAAATTATAGTCCAAGTCGTCTTCACAAACCTGTTATTAACCAGAATCGTTTTCCCAATCAACATCAATATCCGCAGAGTCATTTAGTTCGACCAGCAAGCATTGATCCACTTACAGATCAACCTCTTCCGAAACGTCAATCCCCAACAATGGTGCGACCGCAACAGAATAAACCGCGTGATAATTACATTGATAGAGAAGTAAGGGCACATGCTTATGCAATGAACCCATTCTTATTCTTATTTTCTACGATTTAGAAAGTTCTCATTTAGAATAGGTAAAAAGATATATAGACTGTAAAGAGGAGTGTTGAAAAGCATGTACTTTGTATCTGCATGGAATTGCTCCACGCTCAACAGTTTATGCATGTTATCTTTTGTTTTATTCGTTATCTTTTATTATGAATTAAAACTATTCTTTTTTTTTCCAGAATGAATCTTATTTCCCATCAGCACGAGAAAGTAGTCAACCAACAATTCATGATCCGGAATACGCTCACGTTAATAAACCAACAAAATCGACACCATCAACATTGGAGAGAGATGATAAAAAGCCAGTTCAAAATGGAATACAACCGGTATGCATTATATATACTCCAAACTCTTTTTTGAATGACTTCTGTTATTGTTTCTATCATAGGCAACACCGTCACGAGATCCCCGTGGTGTACAAGTTCTTCCAACAGGTCCAATACCAGTACGTAAAATAATTTTAACATCTTATAAATGAATTGAAATAACGGATTTACGCTTGTTTTACTATAACTGAAATTTTCTATTGACTATTTGATTTTCAATTTGTGTTTTTTAACAGGAATTGAAACCAAAACGACCACCAGTTCTTCCTCCAACATATGCTAATGTTAATGTAAGTACAATCGTGTAAAAATTGATTTGCCTTGAAAAATATCAAAGACAGTCAGACAGAAAGCGAGTCTCTCTTGGTGGATATCAGCTTGAAACTTCCAACGAAGAACAACTATACCTGACCTTGTCGTTAATGTTATCAGTATAGAATGTTGGCAAGAGGCATGTCACTTTCTGAGTAGATATCTGACATTTGTTTAGAAAGCTAATGTAATCCCAAGTTTTTCCATCTAATTGTTTCTAACCCCGCAATAGCTTTCGAGCAAACTAGAGAAACTATGCGGTAAGTTACAACGTATAGTAATTCTCCTGTTGGACGACTGATCCGAAGCATTTAGACACGATGTGAGTAACCAAGATTATGATGCGATTTGATGGCGCTGAGATTTGAACGTAGTACTGTTAAAGTATGTGACGAACAATATAATCGTCACATTATGCTATCTCAAAAACTAGGAGCGTAGTCACCGGTAGTCATTTTTCTAACTGCACACATAATTCATGTTATTTTTTTCTTCATGATGCTAATGTTATTCAAATATTTTTCTTGTTTGATTATGATTTTTAAGAAAATTTTAAACAGTTTTTAATGAATTTATTTAGGGTCAAGATGCACGAACACCACCACCCATTCCTCCACAAAAATCTAAAACTCAAAAAGATGGTCACCCCGTGGATCATGATGAAGTAAGCTTTGTCCATCTGTTACAAAT